GTGGAGCCATCAGTCCTTTAGGGTTGAGCTATCAGTCTTTTAGGGTGGAGATATCAGTCCTTTAGGGTGGAGCCATCAGTCCTTTAGGGTGGAGCCATCAGTCCTTTAGGGTGGAGCCATCAGTCCTTTAGGGTGGAGCTATGAGTCCTTTAGGGTTGAGCTATTAGTCCTTTAGGGTGGAGCTATCATTCTTTTAGGGTTGAGCTATCATTCTTTTAGGGTGGAGTTATCAGTCCTTTAGGGTTGAGCTATCATTCTTTTAGGGTGGAGTTATCAGTCTTTTAGGGCGAAGCTATCAGTCTTTTAGGGTTGAGCTATCAGTCTTTTAGAGTGGAGCTATCAGTCTTTTAAGGCGGAGTTATCAGTCCTTTAAGGTGGGGCTATCAGTCCTTTACTGCAGGCCAATCAGTGATTATGGTGGGGCTATCAGTGCCTGTCTCGTTTCTGCTTTGAATTCATCCATTCCTCAATTTTCCTTTATTTTGTTAGCAATGCTTGTCTTTCAACAATCCAATCAGTTCCCAAAAAATAAATTCCTGCACCGCCCTGCATTTTATTCTCATTTCAGGATAATTTCAAGTAGATGTACATCACAATAGCAAAAAAAGTATATATATATATATATTATTTTTTTTTTGCCAACTTTAATTATTTAATAATAATACTTACTTACAATGAAACTAAGCTGAAATAATAGCAGGTAAACGCATGTGTATTTATTCAGTAACCAAAGTTAATTGCATCAATTCAAGAAAATGCTGTAGAGGGTCAAATCAGTTCAGGACAACCTTCTTAAGAAGGCTGTGTTTAGTCTGTGTATGAAAATAGAAGAAGCTGGTGATATGTTATTGTCTGTATATATGACCGCAGTTCAGCCAACAAACAATAGTTCATCATCAGCCAAAATCACATGACAGATGGAGAGAAAGAGGAGAACAGCAAAGCGAGATCACAGCACCTCTTACTGTCCAGGTGTGTGTGTGTCCGCACGTGTGTGTGTGTGTGTGTATGTGTGTGTATGAAAACACTGACCTGAACAGCTCTTGAATGGCCGGCTCCAGGGGAACTGCCAAGGAGAGAAAGACACAAGACAGAGGACGTGAGAGGTCAGTCCAGAGGTCCATCAGACTGAGCTTATCCACACCTTACATCTGTGTGTGTCTGTGTGTGTGTTGAGGACAGATGAATACCTTTCGAGCGAGTGCAATGGCGCTTCTCATCTGCTACATCCACCTCCATCTGCACAGACACAAATGCACCAAGATTTGACCAAACCTCCTCATTTAGTGTGTCTAAAATGTGTCAATATAAATACATATGTGTAAAATCAGTGCTGTCAATTTTAAAGGAGAAATAGGTTTTCTGATCTCTACACAGTACCTATGTGGCTAAAGCACAGGAATTACCCCTTGAATGAAAAGCACCACTTTGACCATATTTGGAAGGGTCATGATGTTAAATATTAATGATACTGAATATTAATGTGTTCTGTTCTGACAATGAGTTGGATGGACAGTCGGATAGACAGACAGACTGACAGAGAAACAAATGGACAGACAGCAGATAGACAGACAGACAGATGGACAGACTGAAACAAAGACCCATAGACAGATAGACCGACAGAAACACAGACGGACAGACAGAGACACAGACAGCAGATAGACATATAGAGAAAAAGACGAATAGACAGACAGACAAACAAAGACACAAATAGACAGACAGAGAGACAGATGTATAGACAGACAGACAGATACACAGACAGATAGACAGACGGACAGACAGACAAATAGACTCACAAATAGATAGACAGACAGGTAAACAGATATAGAGACAGATGAATATACAGACAGGCAGACAGAGAGAAAGAAAGACAGAAAGATAGATAGACGGTCAGACAGACAGACAGACAGACAGACAGACAGACAGACAGAGAGACAGACAGACAGACAGACAGACAGACAGACAGACAGACAGAGAGACTCACAGATAGACTCACAGATGGATAGAGACAGGTAGACAGATGAATAAACAGACAGACAGACAAACAGACAGACAGACAAACAAGTAGACAGTTAGACAGATATAGAGACTGATAGATATACAGACCGACAGACAGACAGATAGATAGATCCACAGACAGATTTACAGATGGAGAGACAGGTAGACAGATGAATATACAGACAGACAGACAGACAAACAAGTACAAAGTTAGACAGATATAAAGAGAGATAGATAGACAGACAGACATAAAGACAGACAGACAGACAAATAGACAGGTAGACAGATTTAAAGACAGATATATATACAGACAGACATAAAGAGAGATGGACATACAGACAGACAGACATACAGACAAAAAGACAGACAGACAGACAGACACCAGGCGTACCTGATGTAACTGGTGGTTGAATTAGTCTTTGGTTCAGACCTCTGTTTTCCCCGTGGTCCTCAATGTTAGACGACTGATGAGAGGTCACTACACCTCCTCCAATTTCATTGTCTGAAAGCAAACACACACACACACACACACACACACACACACACACACACACACACACACACACAAACACAAGTTACACTACATAAATGCTATAAATGTCATTTCTGTTGTTAAAAAGTTATACTGTCCCACTATTTATTTGAAATGTAACTAATGTCTGCAGCTTTAGAGAGACGTGTACTGCAGTTAAGCCCTGTTTGTGCATATATACACATTTCTCTTTTCCATTATTACGATAATAAACCCTCAAGACATGTTTCCCAAAGATGGGTTGTGGCTGGAAGGGCATCCCATGCATAAAAACTTGCTGGATAAGTTGGCGGTTCATTCCGCTGTGGCGACCCCTGATTAATAAAGGGACTTAGCCGACAAGAAAATGAATGAATGAGGTAATATTTTTACAGTGTACTGCAGAAGAGTCAGTGTAGTGTGTTTTGAAGAAGAGCTCAGCGACGGTGTGATGTAGACAGAGCAAATGGTTCGAGGCGAGATGCGCGAGTGTGTGTTTGTGTGGTGAAGCTGGAGCAGATCCAAACAAATTTGGCACAGCGGCATTTGATTTTTTTATTTTTTCGAGGCTCTGTTGTGCGCCCGCATTCAGAGACACTAATTAAAAGCAGTGAAGCGGCTGCTAACAAATGATGTGTTAGCGGCGCTGCAGTGGAGTGTGGAGGGACAATGAAGAGCCCCTCACGACACACACTCACTCCAAACTACACTATCACTCATTCTGGAACAGTCCTGTCAAAAATGCTGGGTCGATTTGAGTTGGGACAACATGAAGGGACTAAGTTAAGGAATTTTCATTCATTCATTCATTTTCTTGTCGGCTTAGTCGCTTTATTAATCCGGGGTCGCCACAGCGGAATGAACCGCCAAATTATCCAGCAAGTTTTTTTTACACAGCAGATGCCCTTCCAGCCGCAACCCATCTCTGGGAAACATCCACACACACATTCACACACACACACACTCATACACTACGGACACTTTAGCTTAACCAATACAACTGTACCGTACGTCTTTGGACTGTGGGGAACCGGAGCACCCGGAGGAAACCCATGCAAACACAGGGAGAACATGCAAACTCCACACAGAAACGCCAACTGAGCCGAGGCTCGAACCAGCGACCCAGCGACCTTCTTGCTAAATAATGAGCCAAATAATGAGAAAGAACCAAATCTCCTACCACAGCTATGCTGATGACACTCAGATCTACCTAGCCTTACTGCCTAATGACTACAGCCCCATTGACACCCTCTGCCAATGCATTGATGAAATGAGCAATTGGATGTGCCAAAACTTTCTTCAGTTAAACAAAGAGAAAACTGAAATGATTGTGTTTGGAAACAGAGATGAGGTTCTCAAGGTAAATGCGTACCTTGGCACTAAAGGTCAAGCGACAAAAAATAAGGTCAAGAATCTTGGTGTGACTCTTGAGTCAGATCTGAGTTTCAACAGTCATGTCAAAGCAGTCAGTAAATCAGCATACTATCATCTCAAAAACATTGCAAGAATCAGATGCTTTGTTTCTAGTGAAGATTTAGAAAAACTTGTTGATGCTTTTATCAGCAGCAGGGTGGATTACTGTAATGGACTCCTCACTGGTCTTCCTAAAAAGACAGTCAGACAGTTGCAGCTCATCCAGAACGCTGCAGCCAGAATTCTAACCAGAACCAGAAAATCAGAGCACATCACACCTGTCCTCAGGTCTTTACACTGGCTGCCAGTTACATTCAGAATAGATTTTAAAGTATTATTACTGGTCTATAAATCACTAAATGGCCTAGGACCTAAATACATCACAGATATGCTCACTGAATACAAACCTAACAGATCACTCAGATCATTAGGATCATATAAACTAGAAGTTCCAAGAGTTCAGTCAAAGCAGGGTGAATCGGCTTTTAGCCACTATGCCCCTCGCTGCTGGAATCAGCTTCCAGAAATGATCAGATGTGCTCCAACATTAGGCACATTCAAATCAAGACTGAACACACATCTGTTTAGCTGTGCCTTTACTGAATGAGCACTGTGCTGCGTCCGACAGATCGCACTATCATGTTTTTCTCTTCTTCTTCATTCTTTTATATCACATTTTACCTGTTTTTATGTTTTGTTTTGTTTTTACGCATTTTTATTATTTGTTTTTATTTTTATTTTACTTGATTCTTTTATTCTTGTTCATGTAAAGCACTTTGAATTGCCATTGTGTATGAAATGTGCTATATAAATAAACTTGCCTTGCCTTGCCTAGCTGCCTCGCCTCGTTAACGAATTCGTTTTTAAAAATTTAAGTGGATTGAACATAAAACTATTATGTTCAACAAACTCAAGAATTGTGTTGTCTTGGTTTTAAAGTACACATAGAATCAAAACTAACCATGTTGGTTTGGTTAGCTCACATTGCTAGGTTTTTAACTAAAGCGGTTCAAACTATAGTTCTGCCGAACGACTAAACAGCAATCCGTATGATGGTAAAAACTGTACATTCTAGTCAAACCATCTTTCTGCAAGCTTACGCCCCATTCACACAGGGCGTCAGCGTCAACGCTTCCCATTCACTTTGAATGGGTGATGTCAGGCGTTGGCGAACTGCATTGTGGATCCGTTGGCGCCATTCAGAGGCATTGCTTACTGCGCCGACGGAAACGTTTGGATTGACCGCGCGAATGCTGCGTTTGAGCATGTGCTTGATGCAGAAGTATAAATCAGCCTTTGGTTTTTAGACCGAACACAAACATCAAGACATCACTTCAAAGGAAAACAAATAAAAAGCAATGTGAAACCGCCACAGAAACTCATCCTTTCGCAGATCGAAATTTAAACATTTTTTAAAACGAAATTTTGAGCGCAGTCTTATCAATGGCACGTGTATAGAACTACACACGTGCCATTGATAAGACTGCGCTCGAAAATTTGTTTTAAAAAATGTTTAAATTTCGAAATCGTGACATTTATTTTAATTTATATTAAATCGTGACATTTATATTCATGAAGCTGCAGTGCAATCACTCTGGCCATGAAACTGAATTCACAGTCAACCTCAACCTTGTGAATGAACCGAGGGCAAGAAAAGCAACAAAAAAAAAACAACGCCTTCAGGGATTCCAATTAGAGTCTGACTGAACATATTAGAAAGAGTTAATGAGGCAAATGTCATTCATTCCAGTGAAGTGTGAGTTCACTAACTAATCGAGAACTGGGATAATGGGAAAAATACAGTTCTTGGAGACACAGGAAAACACAAGCCTCTATTCCTCTAGAGCACATATGTTTAGACTTGTGGGGAAAGCCGGAGCACCCGGAGGAAACCCACGCCAACACAGGAGAACATGCAAACTCCACACAGAAATGCCAACTGACCCAGCTGAGGCTCGAACCAGTGACCTTCTTGCTGTGATGCAGTTGTGCTACCCACTGAAATGTACATACTATATATTAGTGATGGGAAGTTCGGATCATTTTAGTGACTCGGATCTTTGAGTCTCGTTCATTGAGATAAACAAATCTTTTTTTGAGTCATTTCGTTCGTTTGGTTCAATTTGCTAAAATATTATTAAAATGTTACGAATTGCTTCCAAACACTACTACAACTAGCCCAAAAGGTTGACTGCACGACAAATTAGTCATAAATAGAATACTATAAGAAGGAGAAAATAATAATTGAATGTTTACCTTGCTTTTGTCTATGAAGGTGTTGTTGTCTCTTTGCTCAGCTCACCTCTTCATGTCTTCAAATGTCAGTGGTTCGTTCACGTTATAATCACATTATTAACGTTAACGTTATAGTCACATATAATCTTAACCAAAGTACACAGTCTGAGCCGATTTTCTGGTTCTTGATTCATTGTTCATCACGTGACAGAATGACTCAAACCCTAGGACTCGAGAGATGAACGGATCAATTCTTTTTCCGGCTCTAAACGCATATGATTGGCCCGTGAGGGTCGAGTGATTTAGACCCGATAGAGGACTCGAGAGATGAACAGATCAATTATTTTTCCGGCTCTAAACGCGTATGATTGGCCCGTGAGGGTCGAGTGATTTAGACCCGATAGAGGACTCGAGAGATGAACGGATCAATTCTTTTTCCGGCTCTAAACGCGTATGATTGGCCCGTGAGGGTCGAGTGATTTAGACCCGATAGAGGACTCGAGAGATGAACAGATCAATTATTTTTCCGGCTCTAAACGCGTATGATTGGCTCGTGAGGAACGAGTGACTCAGACCCGATAGAGGACTCGAGAGATGAACGGATCAATTCATTTTCCGGTGCTAAGCGTATATGATTGGCTTCTGTCTTTCCGCAATGAACGACTCGAAAGACTTGAAATGAATGATATCACCTGCACAAATGTGCGCACACGCGGATGAACCAATCACTCCCTGAGAGGATTTGTGGTTCCCAAGTCATATTGAAGATTCGTTCAAAATGAACGAATCGTTCATGAACGACCCATCACTACTGTATATTCTAATCCGCTACACCTAAACCCATCTCTTACATCTCTTACAATTACAAAATACATCATTCTTTGTGATTTAAAAGACGTTCCTCATAGAGACCATATAAATGTCCCCATAAGGTCAATAAACAACTGGTATTACTATACTTGTGAGGACATTCAGTCCCCACAATGTGATAAATACTAACATAGACATGATAACAAGCACACAGAGACACACAGACACACACACACATGATAAAAAGCACACAGAGGACGCACACATACACAAACACAGACGTTTCTTCTGCAGTGAAGTGTTTGATGAAGCTCTTTTCTGCAAAGGCTTCTGAGGCTCTTTAATGTGGGATGTGAGGAAACATTGTCTGGCTAAATCACGGCGTCTTTATAAACATTGTGTGTGAAGATCGTCCTGATTACAAGGAGCTTTCACAAAAACATTTGCCGACTCCCGTGTACAGTATCTCGCAATCTAGCTTTGATTCGTCCAAATGCCTCCAACGTGAATTAAAACGGTTCCTTTAAACAGGA